CACCTCAGCCTCCCAAAGGCGCGGGATTACAGGCTGAGCCACCGAGCCCGGCTGTTAATTAATTTTTTTTTAAAGTGTGGGCCTTTGGCAAGTCACACGGCCCCTGGTGTCACAGTTTTTTTTTCAAATTTAAAATAAGGGACGTGGTGTCTCAAGCCTGTAATCCCAGTACTTTGGGAGGCCAAGGTGAGGAGATTGCCTGAACCCACAGGCTTGAGAACAGCCTGGGCAGCTTGGCAAGACCTTGTCTCTACAATAAATAAAAAAATTAGCCGGGCATGGTAGCACGTGCCTGTAGTTCTGACTACTTGGAAGGCTGAGGCAGAAGGATTGCCAGAGCCCAACAGGCTGATGCTGGGATTGCCGTGAGTGTGCCAACGCACTCCAGCCTGGGTGACGAAGTGAGACTTCGATTCAAAAATAGATAAAATAAATAAAATAAAATAAGGATAAGTTGGGCGCGATGGCTCATGTCTGTGATCCCAGTACTTTGGGAGGTGGAGGCACGAGACTAGACTGGGCAATTTGGCAAGACCTTGTCTCTACAATGGATCAAAAAATTTGCTGGGCGTGGTGGTACATGCCTGTAGTTCCAGCTACTTGGAAGGCTGAAGCAGAAGGATTACCTGAGTCCAGCAGGTTGAAGCTGTGGTGGTCATGAGCGTGCTACTACACTCCAGCCTGGGTGACGGAGTGAGACTTCAACTCAAAAAATAAAAATTAAAACTAAAGGGCCAGGTGCAGTGGTTCACACCTATACTCGCAGCACTTTTGGAGGCTGAGGTGAGAGGATTGCCTGAGCCTATAAGTTTGAGATCAGACCGGGCAAATTGGCAAGACCTCATCTCTACAATAAACCAAAAATTTAGCTGGGCATTGTGGTGCATGCTTGTAGTTTCAGCTACTTGGAAGGTTAAGGAGGAAGGATTGCCTGAGCCCAGCATGTCAAGCCTGCAGTGGTCATGAGAGTGCCCCAGCCTGGGAGACAGAGTGAGACACCAACTCAAAAAAAATTTTTTAGCTGGGCTCGGTGGCTCAGCCTGTAATCCCACGCCTTGGGAGGCTGAGGTGAG